ACGAAAATAATTTTATGGTTGGGGGTCACCACAACATGAGGAACTGTATTAAAGGGTCGCGGCATTAGGAAGGTTGAGAACCACTGCTCTATATAGTTCCGGACAGTGTGACTGTGTGTGTGTGTGTGTGTGTGTGTGTGTGTATAAAAATTTGGTGAAAAAACAGTTAAAACCTTGTGTTGAGGGGCCGCTCACAGCCTACTGAGATGAGTGAGCCAGGCCCTCCACTGTCTCCTGGTCCCAGTAACATCCCTGCGTCCAGGGCCCTGCAGTGCCTCCCACAGACCTCCCTGCTTCTGCCCAGCTCCTCCCATCTGCGCGTTAATACCCACCCCCTCCCCCACCTTCAGCCAGAGAGATCTTTCCAGAAGGCACACTGTGCTGTGGGCGCAAGGACAGCTCGCTAGCTTCATTGGGAAGCCACCCCTCCCTCTGCCACAGAAGCCGTCCTGTGCCTCTGTCTGTCCGTCTCTCCACCCGCCCGGCCCCTTCGGGACCACAGCCTTCGGTGCTGTGAACCCCAGGTGGCTGCTCAGTGGCCCCCTGCTGTGGGCAGTGTCTCTGCACAACCCCCTCTAACACCCACGGCATCTCTCCAAGCTCCTCCTGACCCTACTTACAGTCAAGGATGGACGCGGAGGGGACAGGGAAACAGGCCGAAGGTCTCCGGCCAGCGAGTGACACCGGCCGGGCTGCAGCCGGGATGTGTCTGACACTCAGCACCCATCCGTCCTAGGACAGGTGTCTCCTGTCCCTGCACAGCAGCCCAGGAGGGTAGGAGCCTGATGTTTCATCTGCTGTCACTCCCAGTCCCTCGCATCACACCCACACACAGTAGGTCCCGCCTGCACACAGTAGGTCCCGGTGTGTTGAGAGCACAGTGCCGGGTCCTGGAATTGGGCTGGGTTAGGGGACCATGCAGCACAGTCCTTGCCTGCTGGGATTGTTGGCAGCAGGGACACACTCTCAGGCTGCATCCCCGGCTGGGAATGGCGCTAGGAAGGGCGCCGGGGAGCGTGTGACGCAGGGGCACGGCCTGGCCTTGGGCCGGGAGAAAACTTGGGCGCTCCGTGTTCTCTGATGGCGTTTATAAGGATCCCATTAGTCCTCTCCTGGGATATTAAGAATTCGTACATCATTTCAGGCTGCCTCTCGGAGCTCTGTAAACAGGCATGAATTCTGATGGGGTTGGGCTTTCTGATTTATTTTTCCCCAAGGAACTTAATCAAGACATGCAAGTGCCTTGTCTTCTCAACGCTCCTCTCCTGCCCTGGAGACTGTCCTGGAGCCATCCTCGTTCTTCCTTCTGCTTCTGGGCCCTCCCGGGGACGTGGCTCCGCCCCAGCCCGCTCCCAGTGGCCCACAGAGCAGCCTGGGCCACAGAGGAGCGTGGGGTCAGCGTCTGCCTTGTGGTTTGTTGCAGAGCTGGTGATGCTGCTGGAGTGGTGGTCGGGCACGGAGTGCGTCATCTACACGGACCCCCGGGCCTACCCCACGTTCGGGAAGGAAAACGCCATCGTGGTTCTGAACCACAAGTTTGAGATCGACTTTCTCTGCGGCTGGAGCCTGGCCGAGCGCTTCGGGGTTCTGGGGGTAAGTTGGACGCCCGTTTGCCTTCCTGACACATGTCTCTCGTTCGCACCCTGACTTGCCTTTGGCTCTCGGTCGTGCAGAATTTGCAGCAGCATTAACGGGTCCAGCTGGAGGCGCTGCTTTTAACAGAAGGTTTTTCCTTCTGACTTGGAACGAAGAGGCGGCACCCCCTATAATATCGATCCGTGATGACTGTGTGGTAGGCCGTGGACTCACAGTCTGTTGATTTAAGCCTCCAGACACAGGCATGAGTAGGCAGGACATGCCCACCTTTCTGCAGAGCTAAGTTCAGATCTCCTGCTCAGGATCACATGGCCACTCAGCGGATTTGGGGTTGGAGTCCTCTGGTTTGATGCCACTTCATATTCTTTATTTTTAAAAGATGTTTTTATTGATTTGAGAGAGAGAGAAAAAACGTCAATCCGCTGCCTCCTGCACACGCCGCACTGGGGACCAAGCCTGAACCGGGCATGTGCCCTGAACAGGGATCGAACCAGCAACCTCCTGTTTCACGGGACAACACGCAACCAACTGAGCCACACCAGCCAGAGCCACATTTCATAGTCTTTTTAAAATATATTTTTATTGATGTCAGTGAGGAAGGGAGAGAGGGAGAGAGAGACAGAATCATCAATGATGAGAGAACCATTGATCGGCTGCCTCCTGCACCCCCCACACTAGGGATGGAGCCCGCAACCTGGGCATCATCTTTATTCAGTGCTCAGCAGTGCCCCTGTCTCAGGTGACCTTCAAACAAGGTGACTCGCCTCCTGTCCTGTACTAGCACGTGAGGCTGCAATTCTCCGATTCTCCGCAGGGCGGGTGGGGGGAACTTCTTTTCCTTTCCGAGGAGGCAGAGGCCCCTGACCGGCCTTCTTCGTCTCCCAGGGAGCGGCCGAGAGGGAGGGGTTTCCAGGAAGCAACTGGCATTTGCAGACACTCCTGGGCTCTGGCTATTCTGTAAGCACCCAGGGCCGTGTGGGCCTGGCCGTCTGTCCCCGGGCATTTCACGGTGGGACCAGGGCTCGGCCATGATCTCTGAGAAATACACCGACTGCTCCCTCCTATCGGAGCGAGTGACCTGCGGGCTCTGGGGGCGGGTCGGGGAAGTGCCCAGCAAACGCCACGCGCGTGCAGAGGGTCCAGGTTTTGGAAGCCGAGCGGCCTGCTTGCCTGTCTTTCTGCCCCAGTAACGTGCCCGAGGCCCGGAAGGCGCCCGCAGATCCTGTTCGCCGGGCCTCTGAGGGGCGCGGGGCCCCGTGAGTGGTGAGCACTCCACACAGTAGCTTCTTGTCAGTGTTTCCCGGGAGGTGTGGCTGGTTGACCCGGGGCCGCTGGGCTGTTTTTTCAAGATCTTGGGAGAAGCCACCAGGATCCCTTATCAGTGGCTGCAGGGCAAGCCCCAAACTTGGCCTGACTCCAGGCCCGGCCCGGGGTCCTGGCAGCCGTCTCACAGTTGAGTCCGGCCGCCTCCCCTCACCCCACGGCTCACCGGGCGTGGGTGCTGCCCCCGTGCTCGCCCACGGACCTGTGCGTCTGCCCTCAGACCTGGCCCTCCTGGCGTCCCTGGTCCTGGCGTCCGGCTCCCTCTAGGTCAGGAGAGAGGAGGAAGCACTCAGGGCCCACCCCACAGCCGTGGGTGACCGTGGGCCTTGTTCTGCGTGAGAATGCGTGTGAGCCACTTGTGCGCCCACGGCCTGAGTGCCCAGGGGGAGGCCCCGGCCAGCGT